GGCGCCTCCGCGAGGCGGGAAACGCCGGCCCGGGCCCGGCAGCGCCATCGCTTCCGGGGGAGCGGGCGGGAGGCTCACTGTCTATATATACATATATATACGTATATATAGTAAGCAGCGGGTGCTGTACGTACCTGCTAGCAAAGCAAGAGCCTTCCTTCTCAAAATAGCACCTCTTAGAATCTCCCAGTTTCATTGAAACATTATTTATGTCTTTTTTTATCGAAGAGAAACGTTATTTATGTTTTCTATTTTTATTTATTTATTTTTATTGAAGGGTGACCCTTTTTGGACTATTTTGTGCTTCCTCTCAGCACCTTAATTTCCTAGCAGTGTGGGCAGGATCTCACACCCTGCAAACCAGAGACTGGGGAAGGGGGCAGCACCATTTTTTTTTCCCCCCCCAAACAGCCACCTCGAGTGAAGTTACGGTACCGCTTTTAGACTGTGAAAGTCTGTGTGAAATATTACTAATTTGGAAAAAAAAGCCCGATTCTCCACAAATGATTTCATATCCTAATGTTATAAGGACAAGCCAAAATAATATCTTCGAAAGTGATCAGAGGAAGAAATTTCTCTGGTGTGTATTACTGGTTGCAGTTTGTGAGTAGTCACTTCAGCACTTCTATTTTAATCAGTACCCTTTGCTGCTTGTTCCCACAGGTATAAGGAAGAGAATAAAAGAAACGTTGCTTTTAAAATATGACCTTGAAATTATAAAATTGCATAGGGAATTTGCAGAAAAGCCTAATACCTGAAGGTGCACTTTAACTCCTTAAAAAGAAATTAAATGGCCTACATTTCTTATCAGTGTCTCTATAAAAAGAGATTATCAACAATTTTAAACAAGCAAAAGACCCAATTTATCTTCTTCAGGCCACTTGGGCAAGTTACCGAGAAAAGGTGTAGCTGCAATTTTTAAGTTTAATAATAATCAAAAAAACAGGAACTATTTGGATGTGCCAAGAAACAGTGAGGCTCGAGATGGATTGGGTTGCGTAACAGATTGGTTCCAAACTTAATATGTGTACGGGTTAATTTATTGCAGGTGGATTAGCTTGGTGTAATGTTTCTTTGGGACAGAAGCCCATTTGAAACTCTATGGGAAGTGGTGTTTTAAGGTTATTTTAAAAGATGGCAGAGTAATATAACTTAGGGGTAATCAGATACACAGAGATACACAGTTTGAGCAAAATGGCAGAGTATGGAATGCTTTTTTTTTCTGTTAGTTTGTTTTTGTTTTTCTTCTAGTCCAAGAAAAAAGGACTAAGCTTTGAAGAGAAGAGAGCTCGCATGATGGAGATCTTTTTTGAAACAGTGAGTAACTTTTTATCAATTATCCTTGATTTATATCCAGTAGGAAAAATGATGCTCAAGGGAGGCAAACTGCAGATAAACATGAATTGGGTGTACTGTGCTTTTCACTGATGCCCTGTGTCATTAATGTGTAAATTATAATTATAAATAATTGTTGATTTACGTAGCTTTGGGGCATGTGGCTGGTCCCCTGATGAAGCAGTGCAGTGAGGATGCAGAGCTGTTCTTACCCAACTCTCTTTTTGGGAACTGGGCACAGACCCTCTAATTTTGAGAACTACAAGAGGAATAGCGAGGCATCAGGAATGATCTCCCTGCACTTTATGGGAGGAAGAAGAACTCAAAGTGTCAAAAGAGAAAAAATGAGAGCAGACCTGAGAGAGGTTACTGAGGAGAAGAGAAACCTGGAGATTCAAGGACAGTGCTACCATTGCATCAGTGGCATAGGAAACACAAGATGTTTCACCTCTTTATTTAAAAAAAAAAAAAAAAAAAAGTCATGGTGACATTCGAATACTTGAGCAACACAGAGCATCTGGTGCTGGCAATCTAGCCTTGGCTCTGTCTGCCCTATGAGGCTTACAGGCTAACTTTAGAGAAGATATGGTGAATAACAAAGAAAAGAAGAGGGCTTGTTACTGTAATAACCCTTCTTTTTTTAAAAAATACTCAATCTTCTAATATTCTTGAGATATCTGCAGCATATTTCCCTAGCAAAACATAAGCATACATTATATATCCTGCTTGCTTTTGTTGGTATTGATTTATCAGAAAACCACTGAGGCTTAGTTGATGCTGTCTCTTGGAGCTGAAGTGTCTTTTATGTTTTGCACAGAAAGATGTGTTCCAGCTGAAGGATATTGAGAAGATTGCTCCAAAAGAAAAAGGGATTAGTAAGTATTCACTAAATGTATTTATCTTGAGCTATTAATCATTTTTTCAGACAAGTCATACTGTGTAAATTTTCCTGGTTTCAATTCTACGCTTGTGATCATAATAACAACTGGAAAAAAATAGCTAGAAAGTAAGATGAACCAAAAGCTCCTATGCTACTTTGTTCATGTTTGTCATTTACATTGGGCAATATGGCCAAAATGGGAGGTTACTGAAATTGACAGCTAAATTTGAATTAACCACTAACATGTGGGATGGGATTTCCCACAGATTCTGAGATGCCTAAATTCCAGTGACTTTCCTGCTACAAAAACCATGGTGTATTAACTCAGCTAATGAACAGTGGGTTTAAGTGGCTGCCTGTAGTGTCACAAATATCTTCAAATGCTAGTCCAGATGTGCACAGCTCATGTTTTGTTGAGTTTTCCCAGCAGAATGGCTAAACAGCTGTATGCAGAAAGGGTTTGTCTCTGCAGCAAAAGCCTCCCTGATGAGAGCCATTGGTTCTGGATTAAGTCCAGGATGACTTCTCTTATGCTGCTGAGTTGTTTTTATGCATTCCTCATTCTGCTGCTATGTTCATTAACAAAAGGGGGAAGAAATGTAACATTTGTATAGTTGCCACTGTCCAGGATTAGCACATCTTTGTGGCACTGGGGGTACTTCAGGAATGGATAAAGGAGTTAGTTGAAAAACACTGCTTTGCAATTTGTATGTCTGTCATTTTTTTCAACAGATGTCTGCACCTAGCAGAGGCACTAATAGGTATCTAGAGAGATACCTAGAGAGATGTGATGCTGTCTCTATTGATTTGTCAAAATTCTTGCTACATATGTTTAATTGCAACTGCAAAACAGTACATATAAGCTATGGAAGTTCATATTTAATGATCTGCAAGTACAGAATTTCCAAAACCATTAATACATTTGATACTGCTAAGACCAAATTCTTCCTGTCCCTGGAAGTGGAGGTATTTAGACACACAACCTAAGCCCCAGTTACTTTAAAAAGAAGAGCTTTAGTCTGAGGAAATGCCCCCGTTTACTGGCATCTAGCATGTAGTTTCCAAAAGACTGGGCATTCTAGATTTCTTCGTGATATAGAACAGTTCCTCTGAAAACATGGATCTAGTTCCTCCTCTTTAGACCTGAAATTGAAGGTCAGACAATAAAAGCTAAATAAGCTAAAAAGGATTCATATCTGCAGCATTTTCCATTGCTGAACGTAAATAATTTTCTAGCAAATACATGGCATCATTCAGCACTTAAAAAAAGGAATGCACAATTATTTTCATGAATGTTTTGATCCTTCTGACTGAAGATGACTTTTTGTGTTTGAACTGAGGATAATCAAATGTAACAACCATCCCTCTGAGTTTGTAGACAGATGGCTTTAGTGCATCTGCTGCTGTTTAATGCTTTGATAAGCATTATAAAGTAAAATGTAATTACATGCCTAATTAAGAAATTAAAAGCTAATAAGTGTTAGGGTTAAGGTTGTAAGGCAACTTCTACGTGCCCTCTATGTTATGGTATTGTACTGTAATGTGTATGTACATTTTATGATCGTTCTGAGCTGTTTCACAAGCATCTGGTACCAGACTGTATAGAGTGGCAGCCTTCATGCATAAACTGCTGATTTCAAAGGGATTCATTCTTTGAAGTGAAGTATTAGGCATGGTGTCTTCTTGACTAGTCTTCCAGCTAGCTGACGAAAGAGTGAAATATTCATACAGATGATTGTAGGTGTTGTCTTACAGTATTATTGTTCTCCGTAGTTTAGGTCCTACGCAGTTCTAACTTGATATTTTTGCTTTTATTAGCATCCATGTCAGTGAAGGAGATTCTGCAAAGTTTAGTTGATGATGGCATGGTGGACACTGATAGAATTGGAACTTCCAATTATTTTTGGGCTTTTCCAAGTAAGGCTCTTCATGCCAGAAAGCGTAAACTGGAAGAACTGCAGGCTCAGGTAAATCTCTCCTAGATATTTGATTACCTGATTGGGCTTGCTTTTCTTCTTATAAGCCTTCTCAATTATTTTCAGAAAGACTTGTTTAATACTATATATACTACAGTTTTGTCTGTTCCTTTGTTGCCTTTGTGTGGACTCAAATGTGTCCAGAGAAGAGAAACTGGCAGATATGGGCTGACAGCTTGGCAGAACTGGACTTAAAGCTGGTATTATTGACTGGGAGTACCAATATACTGGATTGGCCCTGAATTTAGCACAGTTTAGCCCTTTACGCTGCCTGGAATTGCTTTTCCTAGTAAAGTTATTCACACAAGTTTTAGACAAGGTTACTTATTTTGCCAGAGCATAAATACCAACTGAGCAACCAAATGAATGAATGCATGCCAAAATTCCAGCTCTTTTCACCAGACACTCTGTCTTGTTATCACTGTCTTGATGAATGCAGATTATTTGCTCTTGGACGCTTTCAATTTTTACTCATACTGAAAATTGTAGCAAGGCAATTGAATGAAAGAATTGATCTGTGTTGTTGTCTTTGCCTTTGGGCCCTGTCCCATCATGAATTTTAAAGCTAATTTATCAAAAAGTTCTCTGGCATACACTGATGGAAATCTTCCTTGGAATGTCTTACAGAAGCTCCATAATGTGCTCCACCATCAGGATCCAGGGGTTCTCTACAAGTATATGTTGTACTGCTTTAAATGTACTGTTACCGTATTAAGCATAATGCCATATGTTATTATGGTATTAGAATAGGCACGCAGTTATTGTATTATTATGCTGGTTCCTGGTTATTTCTTTCCAGGAATGAATTATGCTGATACAAGCAGTTTTGTACTACTCACACTGTTGCAACTGAAAGAAAAAAGGGTTGTTACTAGACCCCTGCTTGCAAACCAAGTCCTACTTCTAACATATGAGCTTACTGATAGAAGAGCTCTTTTCAGCTCATAAGTCCTTAAAAATACTATATTTGTTACTTTGCATTTCTAAGGAGAATGAAGTGTTTCAGCATTCCAGGAAGAAAGATTTTCACTAGTCAAAGCTAACTTTTTTGCTGGCACAGCAGAAGGGTGCCATTTTCAAATAAATAGCTCTCTGAACATTTTTTTACAAGACAATAAAAGTTTCTGTCTATGATTATGAGTTTACATTAGCTGTATGGAGTGTTTGTATTCTTTATGTGCGTGCTTACACGTTTTCTTGCTGGTTTCTGAATCCCGTCTGCAAGTATCACAGAACTTCCTGTCAGAACATGTATGTGGAGGGCAAGAGTTAAGCGCTGGTGCTGCGCGTGGCCGGGTCTGGGTCACTCCCCGCGCGGCCCGCACGAGCTGTGCGCACGCCTGCTCTCTGCGTCTTGTCCAGATCACTCGTAAAGCCCATGAGCTGCTCTTTTTCTTCAGTAGCTGAAAAAATGGAAGCAAACCTCTGTCCTTATAGAAAGGGTTTAAAAAGCCAGCAGCTCGGTCGATGTGGCAGCCAATATAGAGGTGGTTGGAGGGTGGAGGTGCTGGCTAGTGAACTGACGTACACGGCAAATCACTTAGGATTACAGTGCTGCTATCCATCCCAGGGCCACTACTTGTATTTCTTCCTATTTGTCTGAAAAAGATGGACAGCAAGTATCTTTACTGGTGTAGCTTCTGCTGCATTGTTTTTTTCTCCAATAGCCCACTGAGAAAGAATTGTTAAGTAGATTTTCATGGATATTGTGTAGATTTGTCTTGCGGTGGCATGCCTGGCTTCAAATGTCTCAGCCTTCTGCCAGATGCTTTTCCTTAACCTCTTGGTTATGCTTATGCACTTGTGAATTGAATTACTGGAAAAGTAGATGATGCTGGAAGCTTGACTGCGGATTGTTTTGCAGGTCACATTTATAGTTGCATCAGTACAGCTGTGCAACTGGAGCAGGGGTGTGGGTTGAGGTGTAGTGTTTAAACAAGCTTTATATTTATAACCTGGAGAGGTTTTTAATGGAACTTGATCTTTGTTGAGAGAACAGAGGAAACCTTACTCAGAGTTTTTTTTTCCTTTTTTTTAAAAATAATATTATTTATTCTTTATCAAACTTTCCTGGAGTGGATTTCCAAAGTCTGGAATTACAGGTGTTCAATCATGTTTTGACATTTTGACAAAGAGTTGTTTATTCTTGTTATAATAATACTGGAAGCTCAGGGTTCTTATTAAGCTAACACAGAATTTGGCATATGCAGCGTAAACAGAAAGATCATCTTTTATTGATCGTTCTGCTGTCCCTTTCTGATTTCATAGCATGCATAAAATGAGGGGACTAGGTATCAGCGACTCCAGCATGCTAATCAGTCATGTTCAGCCTCAGTCAAGAGCTGATAATGTGTTATATACAATTAGCCTCTCTATCTTGCATACAATTACATATATTATACTTCTATATAATTATATACAATGTCTCTATTATACGCAGTTTGGGGGTGGTTGTGGTGTGTATATTGCTATGGAGTGCATGCGAATTTGAAAGATGCTAACTTGCTGAAGAGGAGGACATAACTGCAGCCTGCAACCCTGACAGCTTTCGGGTAGAAGGAAGGAAACGGCGCGTCAGCTGAGGGAGGGAGAGGTTGGCGTTTCTCATCTAGCTTTACTATAATCAGATTTGGCTTAGATTTTCTTTCATTTCTTCATGGTACCTTTGGCAAAATGTGACTTTGGTAAAATACTCGTAATGGCATTTTCTTTTCTATGTAAGTTAAATAGAGGCTGGCTTGCTTGCATTTTACTTTGCTGTGGTTTGAATTAAGGATGGTTATAAAGCAACTGGATGACAGTGAGGTCTTTTTCCACCCAAGGGATTGACAGGTCTACAGACCAAGACCTGCAGAAAACATGAGTGCCCATTTCTGAAAGCCCAGTGTCCTCCATAGATAGCATTAACTGAAGGGGTGGTCACTTGAGTTGTACAGGCCAGATTTAGTGCCAGAACTATAACGCTTAAGGAAGACACAAACATCTTTGTCGTGTTTGGTGACGCTAAAGACTCTGCCATTCAGTATGATTGGGATATGTGCCTGAAACATAAGGTCATAGGGGATTGTCACAACATAATATATGTCTTTGACAGACAGGGATTTGAAATGCCAAATCTTCTAAGGAAATCTGGAGGAGGTAGTGTTGCCGTTGTTAGTGTCACTATTGACAGCACTGTAGTTCAGTTGCTTGGGGAAGTAACCACTTCATTTTCCTGGCCTGGTTTGGGATGTGGTTCCTTTCACTGTTTGGTTCTCTTTACTGTTGTGTTATTAACTGGTGCATGTATCTCTGTTTTCCTGTGAATCACTTTTTGCAGGTTATTCGTCTGTGTTCTTAGGCTCTGCAAGAGAAAGTTAACAGAAAACAGTACTGGTGCTGCCCCTGCTTCAGCGATCGAGACACAAAGGTGTCATCTTTTGCTGTGACAAAGATTAAATCTTTGTCAGAATCTTCTCAGAGAAGGGTACAGCTGTTCCTCATACACAGTCACTTAGCTCCGTTCAAGAATCAGCTTAGCCACAGAAACTTGGGAAGCTTTTCTGACATCTTTTTTTCTCCCACTAAGCTTTGCATTGGGCCAGTATGAGTTAAGATGGGAGGGATTAGTGGATGTTTCATTCCTTAAATCCCCGCCCTAGGGCTGGTAAAAGGAGGGTTTTTTCACTTCCCATGACTCATATATTGAGCCTGGAGAGGAATTTAGAAGTCAGTAGACCTAACTCACTTTTGGCAGCTATTAAAAAAAAGAAAATAAAGTTCTCCAGGAATGAACTTGTTAAAATATAGAGATTTCACATGTACCAAATTGATGGTACTTAGGAACACTGAAACATGAAAACTGATTTATTAAAATAAAAAAGACACCAGTCCTCAAAGAATGCTATATTAGGAAATGCTTTTATTAGGAAAGCACATTGTTTGAAAATAGTTAATGGAAAAAAATAATCATATTGGTGAGTAATCTGGCATGAAGCTTCCTAGTTGTGTTTGACATCTCAACTAAAAGGAGAAGACCTTATTTGTACAGAATGCATTTAGCCTATCTTGAGTTTTAACTACCAGACAGTTCTTTCAAGCTACAGCTTGATTTATTTGTATCCCTTTGGGCAGACAGTGTGTTCCTTAAATACTGTGACTGGATTACTACATGGAGAGTTGCAGCATAGAGGCTGCTTGGGAGCACTGGTGGAAGCGAAGGGAAACGGCTGCCGGCTCCAATGCTTCAGCCTGAGCAGCCTCCGCTGACTCACGGAATTGTCAGTGTATCTACACACGGCTCCGAGATTGATTCCTGATTATGAGAGATCAAAGATGGTTAGTTTAAAGTAATTGGTACCGAACTGAGCTCCAGCTCTGTGGGATGCCATGTTCAATGAGAGCTATCAGACCTGACGGTGTTCAGAGGGACTGTGGGATGTTGCTGGTGATCCCAGGAAGAGGTGTACATGGGATGGCACTTTAAATAAGCCAGGAAAAGCCCATCAGAGCTGACATCTCCGGCTGCTGCGGGCAGTGTTGGCACAGCACGGTGCATGGTGGGTGCACCTCATGTGTAAGACTGAGAGCGAGCTCTGGGGTGGGCAGAGAACTCTACAGAAGGCCTCGATTTGTCGAGTTTCTCATGCTGCTTTTTCAGGGATGTGAATCCCGCTGCTGCCAGCAGGCAGTGGTTCATGGGCGTGCTGGTCACGGTGGGAAACGGTGCCATTGTGCGGGGCTGCGTCCACCTCCTTTCGAAGCCGTTTGCAGGTCCTGCTTGGCCCTTGCGTGACGTGTCTGGAGCCTGCCCTAATGCACCAAGAGCAGTTTGTTTATTTATCGGGAATGGAGTTTGCACGTTGGCATCAACTGAATGGCTGCAGTAATTAAGTACCCCATGTATTTTTAAAAAATACTTCTTTAATTTATGGACTCTAAAGGACATGATCACAAAGCACAGAACATAGATGCACAAATCTTAAGCTTTGTTGTTACCTTCAGCTTCTGCT